GGAGATTCTTAGAGACCCTTTTCTCTCTCCTTTCACTAGCTGTCTTTCCGAGTGTGTACTGCGATAGCGCTTCCCTTCCACAAAGAGGCACCCAAGTTATCTATCTGATTTACCTCTGTTACCTTAAACAACACACATCAGCGAGATGAATATCCCCCTAAGCCATACCACATGAAACTTTATAGCAATGTGTAAAAATACCTGATCCCTGTATGACTGTCCAATGCAGTACAGTATACCTTCCTTACCCCATCCCCCCGCACCAGTTCTCCCTTCTCTCTCCTACCTTCCTTCTCTCACTTCTTGTTCTCTCAGCATGTCCTATATTTACCTTAACTAACCCTGGTTTGCATCCTATTCATCCAACACATTACCTTCAAACACATAATTTCCCCAACTTCTTCCACTTATATGCAGAGTCTATGATTTAACAACTACACAGTGATGTTAGGTCAACTATTTTCAATGTATATCTTTGTCTCCTTTAACAGCCCCCCACCCTCTCATTACGAAACAATTGTGAGGAAAGTTTACACCGTTAACAGTGGTCTCACCTCCCCTCGTCCCTGACTCTTAATTGGTGTAGATTCAATGTTTCTCTTCCAAATGATAGGATATTTTTGCAGACTCATACTCAGGTTACACGCATCTGACGCCAAGTCGACTCATACCAGCTAAACGCCTCTGGTTCGAGCGTGTGATTGGACAGTTCGGTGCCTGTTGTTCGTGTCCTGTTACCTGAAACAAAAACAGCTTGTAAATAAAAAAAAATGATAAAGAAAATCACAAGGTCGTAGACACGCCACGAAGCCCAGATGGCTTTCCTCGTACCATTAAGTCGGAATGTTTGTAAACAGCAGAATGCATCTTGGGACATTATTTCCCCATTACACCGTCAGCAATCTGTACTTGCTGACACTGGCTATGACGATATTGCCAGAGACCAAACACAAACCCTCACAATATTTGACAAAGAATTTTCCATTTCTGTTTTGGTTATCACGCAATTGGAGCATTAGTCTTGTGGATGCACTTAAAGAAATGAATGTTTTTAGACTGAGAAAATTCCTACCACCAACCATAGGGGTACTGAAGGGACAATATAGTTGTATCGGTGAAAACAGGAAATGAGAAGTTGGTTCAAATACAAATACCGTTTTAATGGAGAATGAAGGATTAATTACTGATATCGAAATGGGTACATGTTTTACTTCCATTCTAATTATGAAACATACTCTACATAATTACTTTACTTATAATCCCTCCAATATGTATTAGGGACGCCCTACCTGCCGCAGTAATGATTAGAAATAATTTGAAATACATAGCGTTTACTGTTGAGTGAGAATGACAAAGGAACCATAAATGTTCTACTGGCAACACGTAAACAACAAATTCCAGGTGTGATTTCAAATACTAAACTAGATTTACGGATATTACGATATATAATCAGTTGGCAAAATTATTCCTAAAATGTGAAAAAAAAAAACCAAGACCAATGGAATATTACTAAGACCAAGAGTAAACATCGCTACAACAGAAACACAATAAGTAAACAAACAAACCTCTGATGCAAACAAACAATATAAATTAAACACAATAAAAACTTCCAGGAGCAGAGACACAGAGGAACTACATAATACCAAATGTCGTCCAGGTGAGGTAGTCAGTCAAGGCTCTTCACATGCTCCTCGACAACAGCCATTACCTTCTTGGCTCCTACTTGTCGCTCAGGATCTTTTGGTCGAGGAACAATGAGCTCCTCCACGAGAACGAGATGAGTAGTGTCTCTTACGCCTCCCTCGTGCCACACTACCTTTACACCTGCTATGTTTTATGAATCTCTCTTCCTGGTACATCTTCTTTACTTACAAAGTCAATGATTATTTTTTTTTTCTGTGTTTTTCTCAATATTTGATTTTTTTTTACTTATTTTTCCTATTTTCTTCTTGTGTGTCAGTTATTGCCGAGTCATATATGTAATTTTGGTATTTTTATACGTATTTCTTATTCGTATTATTGTTTATTCAGTATGTTTGGTTTCCTTTGGTGGTGGTGTTCTATTTCTTTCGTATATTCTGTGTCCGTCAAGTTAATCCTTTCTGTCTCTCTCTCTCTCTACGTCACCCACTGGAGAGCATTGAGAACAGTCTAATATACCCCTGGGTCATTACACTCCAGCTTCTCCAAAATGAGCTTTGAACATTGCCAGATACGAACTTTAATTACCAAGTCCCTCAAAATATAAAGATCTGTGCTATGGCGGCTGCTTATGGCTATCACACGCAAGTCTACGGACTTGGCGCTCCCACATTCAACTACTTTTCACTAAGTAATAAAATTATACAGTACTATTAAGGGTACAGTATAGATAAATCTTGATCTTCAGTGCAATACTTGTGGCCTGACAAAAATCTCTTATTCTTTTACACAGAATATCTGATATTCTTCTGTGTTTAATATTTAATATTTCATTCAGCCCAGTCACTAGTCTTCTGTTCTGCCCATTACATATCGTACTCTATCTAAACTTGATAGTTTATTCAGTCCAATCTGGTACTCTACCTCTAAAACATTTTAAATCTGTTCCAATTATTATTTTAGGTAGAGGGTAAAATTACCACCAAGAGATATCAGACCACAATAACATGGCGAGATGTACTGTAGGAGTACGATAATTCTCCGGGTAAAGATATAAACAGCACCCTTAGCTGGTCAATAGTAAGACAGGCAATGAACAGTGTGCAAACGGACGTCGACGAAGACACAAGCGAATGATGTGAAAATGATTGAGTTACCTGCTGCTGCCTCCCGAGGGAAAGAAAAACTCAACCCCCGGAAGCTTCCACCAACAGCAACGGAAAAAATAAATACTTTCTTTGTTGCGAGCGACAGGTGAAAGCTATGAATACTTAAGAGAAATCTACACCTGTCAAAATAATATTTATTGTCATTATCTTTTCAATTACAAATACTAATATCCTCCTAAGAATAACAAAGGGAGAAAAACTATTCTTACCTTTACAGAATCTTCTACATAAAGAATATCCAACTCAAGAAAAAACTTACTGTCACTGCAGGACTTTTACTGACAGAAATAATCCAATCATATGAATGCATCCAACTAATTAATTACATCCTTTATAAACATCACTAAACACTTTACATAATCGATTTACTTATTTCTAAACCTAATATTCTTAGAAATCATAATTAACTATCGTTTCTCTTCTAACTAACCTACACACACTAACAAGCATAACCATTATAAATTAATAACTTGAGAAATACACCTCAAACTACCTCTTCTTTAACAATTCCAAATTTCGTAAATCATCACAATATAAATAATTTCTATTCATCTTAATTTTATTGATTTTAGTAATGAAAGAAACAGCAAAAAATAATATAAAATGAAATATTACCTTCACCTACACACAACTATAGCGATAATCACTAGCTACAAAACTGTACTAAACTCCCCAATCCAATACAATTTTCCTTGTACAATATTGCAAAAAAATAAATAAATAAAAAAAATAAATAAAATCACGTTACAAATTCTGTTAATTACTGTACCACGATACACAGTTTACAAAAACCACTTATTTTTTTATGAATTAGAAAAAAAAAAATCCCAACCGAAATAATGTTGATCTCAATAACTTACCACATAACAATATCACCTAATAAGTATAATTTCGACCGTGTTTGGTAATCTTATGCAGCAGAGGATGTAGCGTACCTAATTCCCAATATTGGTAGGCGATCCCATTAAGTGATAAACTCAATCTTGATGAGAATCTAAGGAGACATCACTTAATATTCATGAGGGAAAATTGTGAATTAAAAAAAATGCTGTGCCATGATGCTGAACGTAATTCTATGGAACGGATAACTTTAAGTACTGTATTATCATGAATCTAAATAAAGGAAAGATGATCTGGATAAACTAAAGCTGAAATTACGTCATGGATAAATAAAGCTTAGGCTGAAATTACGTCCTGGATCAACATACTAAAGCCGACATTTTCCTTCTATAAATGGTTCTGTAAGTCAAAACACTTGTATAAATAACAATACAATAATAAAACCTTGAACCATTTTTAGTCCATTTCACTCTAAAAGTAAGTACAGTATTTCTGAACAATCAATTCACCAGTCAAGTAAGAAATAAGCTAAACTGCCTCATATGGTATTGATTCATACATTAACATATCAAACTTCTTAGAACCCAAATCTCTCTTCCTATCTGATCTGTCAATATTATTCCTCCATAAAACTTATAATCTTCATTGTTTTCACTACAATAAACCAACCAACACAACTCCATCTTTCTACACTAAACAAAACTACAGTATTCCACTTGGATTCCCTCAGGGCATCGTCTTTCATCCTCTGGAAATAGTGTAGCATCCTGAGGTAATTGCGTTCCCCCCCCCTTTTTTTTCTCTCTCTCTTAATTAATACGGAGTCAAAAGCAATTTTTCTTCTTTCCACAATAAAACTTTTCATCATAACAAATGAAACACGCGTTCTGTTAAATCAATGAACGTAAAACTACCATTACTATTTTTTTTCCTTTGTCGTTGTTTGCACTCCTTAATCACCGAGAAGGTTTATATTTAAACGCCAAAGGTCACTAGAGAAGAACAACACCTGCTGTTCTCCATCTCTGTTTTGTACGAGAATAAATTCTGACGATCCAGCCACCCTTTATTACTACCACTGTAAGGGCTTGTTGACTCCTGCTGCAGCACGATTGATCCATAGCAGAAGCAGAGACATTAATGCTTCTTACCATAGCCGCTGGAAGTTTACAATACTTAGTGTTTCTTCTCAGCAGAAAAAAATAATGGCAAACGGAGCAATTATGACCTCAGATGACCTCAGATGATCTACCATACATTTCTTAAGATCAGTAGAAGTGATGGCTCTTCCTACTGAAGCAGTCGTTGGCTCTGAGGGGCTAGATTTCTTATGTAACAGCAGTAGTGAATTCAAAGGATCCAGCCTCCCTGGCGAAGCTTGCTTGGTAAGTAAATTGAGGTGAGGTAGTCCGGGCTGATGTGAGTGAGGCTCTGGATCTCTGCCTTGTAGCCACACTCACGCTGCTCTTCGATCTGTTCCACAAAATATAAGTTCCCGCTCGTATAATAACGCCTATAAAAGACGATTGACTACTTAACAAAATATCATGTAATCACTCAAAGAACTGTATCTACTGGGGGGTGGTATTTCAGAAGGACCACTGGGACTCTTGTTGCCTCGGTAGGGTTGCCAAAATCCTTCGTCCGTTGTCATATTTTTTAAACACTATTATGTATAAACAAATTTTCTGAGTGACTGCACAGTATTCATATTTTATATACTAAAAACACCGGACATTATCACTAGGAGTTCCAGTTTCAACCATTAGGCTCCACATATCACATTCTTACCCACAATTGGCGTGTTCCAATTAACCTTTGTACACCATTCCCACACTGATTTCCACCCACTTTACCTCACAAGTCCCACATCTGCTCACCAATCACATACCTACCCCACTTAATCACTCGGTATACTGTTTATTCCACAATCATACATCCTACCTAATAATTTGATATCTCTCTCACCCATTCTCATTGAACTACACAAATAACTCACCTGTCGGAGCCAAGATGGATTCGTGGAGAGTGAGGGGTGGGCGGCAAGGGAAGCCAGTTTGCCGTGGTCTTTGGGGCTCAGGGGTAGGAGGGCGTGGGCGGGGAGCTGGAGCGCTCGTAAGTCAGAAGGTAAGACGCCAAGCCATGATAAGTTGTTCACTGACAGCCCAGGTTCCTCGCGAGCCTGTTGTAGGGCATAACAGATAGTAAGTGGTTTACTGTATTCACCTGCACTAACAATAACACTCGTAAGGTACAATATAAACAAAAATATGAGCATCTGGAAGCACGTGTACATTAAAGGAACACTTTCATCATTAAATCCTTACATGGAAATGATTGAACTTGTACTTTTTCATCTAAATCTGTATTTGCATTGAAGTTTTTGTATAAAAATCCTAAATCTGAATCTGTGAATGAAAGTTTTAACTAAAGTAGACAAGAATGAACACGATTATTCTTATGCATTGCTGAACAGGCCTATACACCCCACCCCCTCCATCCACCCCACCCCCTTACCCCCCCATTCCTCTCTTCTCCCCCTCCCTCACCCCCAGGCTGTTCCCAATAAAGACAGAACGCTGAAATACTAGCAATCAAGTGCGATCCACCCAATTAAAGGATCCAACTGCCAATTAATATTTTTTTTTTATCAATATCTGATACTGTGGACGGCGTTGGTACCGTTACGGGATTGTTATTTAGTTTTATGTTATTATATTACATTTTACTTCAGCAATAACCTGCACTGTGTATGATGATGATGGTTCAGGTTAAATATGAAGGTTTTATTTTATCCGTTAATATCAAAAATATAATCTATGGTGTGTTGCTGTGGATGGTTAGTATAATTATTAGTTGTCTCCACCTGCTAACTACCTATATTGTTATCATGTCCTTATCTCTTATCATCACTGTCTTCTGTATCCCTGGACGTCGATCAAATAACAAATACCCTCACTACTGTTATATTCACTGTCAATCATTGGTGCAAATGTTTCTTTTATTCGCCAAAACTGAATTGAAACTACATGTAAAAAATTAACAATATTAATCTGCATACAAGCAATTCAATCTAAACTACGAGCGACAAGTTTGTATGAAAAACTCTAAACTGACACCGATATTCAATTAAAATCGATATTATACTAATTTCAACTTTAGCCAAATGATTAGTACTGACAACTAAATCAATAACCAATGACACAACGTATTTAACTGAAGCCAAACAAAATAATGATAAATGTATATAAAACCACATTAATTCCAATAGAATATGTAAACCTTGGGACCACTTTAAAAATTTTACCAGTCGTTTGAATAAAATTACAATCCCATCAGCCATAGACCGATCACATCCACCAGCCCGTAATTCTCTCCCTCCCCCATTTATTACTTAATCACGTTTGCCATTGTACAGTACAGCTTTTATTTCGTCACACAAACGACCACCCCATAAAACTACAACCTCTCCTCCTCCAGCCCACAAACGACCACATTTATACGTCGACAATCCCCCTTCCTGCATCACACAAACGACCACACTAAAGCTACAATCGTCCTCCTGCATCACAAACGACCCCACTATAAAACTACAATCCTCCTCCTGCATCACATAAACGACCACATTTATAAGCCTACAATCCCCTCCTCCTCTAAATCATAAACGACCACAATTACCACAAAAACAGCTGATATTTCGCCTACACTCGCGACTACACGGCACTCACAGCTATTATGAATATACCGTTATAAATATATCCCATTTCTCTTCCGTTCCCTTTAACGTATAATGGAATCCATTTGCTCACTTAATAGTACCAGCCACTAGTCCCTCGGTCAGGATAAAGCCAAAACACACAGCTCCACCATGACGGTCGCTTCAGGCAAAACACTTTCGCCTATGATGTGCTGAGCTGCGTGAATGGCCAGCACCGAGGTAGGCAGCGGCTGGGAAAATGGAATAATAACACGAGGGGAAAATCAAGGTGTTGGGACTGTTGGATGACGACTGCGGTGGTGGTGGTGGTGGTGGTGGTGGGTGTGGGTGTGTGTGGGTGTGGGTGTGTGTGGGTGTGTGGGTAGGGGGATGGGTGGTGACAGTGACTGTGTTTTGTGTTAACTGAATGCTCGATGGGACACGTCATGAGTGGCTGGTCAAATTACCCGAAAAAGGCATTAGATTTAAGAGGGGCTCAACCTTAAAAAGCCTCAGTTTTAATAGATCCTAGTACTAGCAGGCTCTCATAGGCACTGATCCTAATAGGCCCCAGTCCTAATAGACCCTAGTCTCCAGTCTAACCTTAACCGTATCTAACCATTCAGATAAGAGACCCGATCCTAATGGAGAGATTAGTTAGGACTGCGGCTCATGTCCCCTTCTACCCCTATGTATCCTGTAGGGGGCGTCACGAGGAAGGGGACGACACTGGGCTTGATCAGCTGCAGGATGTTGATAAGATGTTGAATCAAGATACTCGGAGGTGGTGAGATGGAGGCGGGAGGATCCTCGAGTTTGATCTTGGTTGTGATCCTCAGTTATGGGTTTAGCCTGACCTGACCCACAGCATAACAAACCCCTTATCAAATATATGTCAACCCCGTTTCCACTGTACCTTATCTTCTTCTTCTTCTTCTTCTGTTACATTTCTTATCTACATTTACCATTCCATCCCAATTTCATGTTGATTTTCTTCTCTAACCCCTATCCCCCCCCCATTCCTATCTCCATCCCATCACCATATCCACTCCAGCCCATTCCTATCCCCATCCCAACCCAATACCGTAGTCATCCCCAGCCAATCTCCATCTCCGTTGCCATCACCTTCCATCCCCACCATCAACACCTTCCTCTCCATCATTCAATCTCTACCTTCGTCTTGTTTCTCTTTCCATCAGCATCTCTATAGAGGGACTAGTGGAAACGCCGAGTCCTCAGAAAGTTACAATACGGTGTAACTCACAAGGGTAATTAAGTTATTAAGTTGAGTCAACGCTAACTCACTCCACCTCACGTGAAATGCTTTGAGTATTATGCATATATCCGCCTCGAGTTATGTTTAAAGCCACTTATGTAAAACTGTATATACGCCCAGTTACACACGTAGAACTATTTATACTGTAGTTATGATTAAAGCAACATATATACTTCTACGTACTTAAGCTTAAAGCCTCATATATACAGCTGTAATTATATCTAGTCAAAGACATTTAGATATTTATACCTCAGCTTAAACCCACGAACGCACATAAAAATGTTTTCGTTAAGCTTAAAACCGTATGTGTACAAGAATGTAGTTACACTTCAAGTTACATAGAGACAACACCTTGTAGTTAAGCTGAACCACATGCACATACAGGTAGGTAGTTAAATTTAGTCATACACAACTACTGTACTTGTGGTTAAAGAAATATTACATAAACAACACATAGCTAACATAACTACCGGCGTATACACATCAAATCATCACAAACACCAATACACATATGACTAACACAAACAAACGAACATCGACATACGCAAATTATTTCCCCATCACCATAAACATACTCTAATTATATCACCGCTTCCAATAACACCAAATATAACGTACCTAAATTTATTACAACATACACTCCTCTAGTCATATTAATGGCGGCTCCACACAGAATCCCTTTCATGTGTCACGGGACGGAAAAAGTCAGAGGAACCTGGAGAATGTCACAACGGGGGGGTGATGTGAGAAGAGGGCTGCTAGGAGGTCAAAGTTAAGGGGGAGAGGGGAGGGGGTGGAAGGCTTTGGCACACGCACACATACAGAGAGAGAGAGAGAGAGAGAGAGAGAGACCGTCTTGCCCAGGGTTTTAAGATTCTTGGGGCAACCGGTTGGTCTATTTAGGAAGAAGTCGTGAAAGAAAGGGGATAATTAGGGAATTCTACGTGGCGAGAGGTCTTGGATGGCTGTCTTTTACAAGTGTTGGTCAGTGAGGTGCGAAGAATTATGAGAGGGACGAGTAGTTGGATCAATGAAGCGAGTATTTGGAAGTGTGGATCAGTGAAGCGAGTAAGGAGAGTATTTGGTAATGTGTGAGTATTACTACGACTATTAATAATAAAACCCTTGATCTTTAACAATATATAATTAATAACAATAATTCTATACACCTCAAACACTCGGTCCTCTCCCCTACACCACATTCCTCCTGGGGAATTTAAAATGCGTCAACACGTCTCAGCGATCACCTGAAATTGAACAACTCTCTGCCACAACTGCCTACATAAGCCACAATATCTTGAGGGGCCTTGCAATTATCCCATCTCCCTGTGCTTCTATCTATCTTATTACTCTGTCTATAAAATCCTTGTCTCTCTTTCTTCCTTGCTACATATTCTCACTTTTTATCATGTTCACCTCTCACCAAGTTCTTCTCTCCTTCCTCCAATATGGTTATCAGTTATCTCTATTCCCTGTTCCTTCCCTCACCTTGTCTGCGGTGTCTCCCCCCCTCCCATTTTTTCTCTCTCAACTCCCTTCCTCCCTCCTCATCCTCCTGCCTTCGTATTCGTATGTATTTTGCAGTAATTTCCTGTGTTTATCTTCCCTCTCTCTCCCTCCCCTTCCTGCTTTTTGCCTCTCCATTACTTATTTTTCCTTCCCCTCTCCACCTACTCCTTTTCCTTCCCCTGTCCACCTACTCCTATTTACTAGTATTATTACCTTCTCCCTTGCCATTATTTTTCTCTTGCACCTCCGATATTATTATTTCTTCCTCTTTCTCTTCCTCTCTTCTTTTACTCCTCCTCTACCATTCTCTCTCTTCCTTATTGTTACTACTTCCTTTCATTCACTTTCCTCATTGATAATCCTCTTGTGCTTCATACCTCTCCTTAGCGATTACTCTCAACTCCCCTCTACCACCCAATCTTTCCCTGTATAGTCCCTTCTTCAGCAGTTTTCCTCCCTAGGGTAATGCTTCCTCGTGATGCTCTCCATATTTCATCTCTCTCGTTTACATAATTTCCTTCTGTCTCGACGCGGTAGGATTGTGGGATAAGAAGGCGTAGGGTGTCTGTCGTTCGAGTGTCTCTGTCTGTCTGCCTGTCTACACACAAATCTTACAAACTCGATAGAAATTCAGTTTTGAATAATGAAACGTAATAGAAATGTTCTTTATGGATTCTCAAAGTAAAATGTTCCATTATGCAAGAAGTCGGATGAGGATTGTATTTGAGCGGACAGTGAGTGGCCTTGTTCGATTCCCTCTGGGGTGACTAGAACAGTGAAAACGTCATAGTTAATACTTGGGATTGATGGAATTGCATTTGAAATTGGTCCAGAATATTGTTGTTCAAATTTATTGTGAACTGTAAATGATCAGTGACCTTGTATGACCTTTCTGGTTGATAAACTTTACTTTTCTCGTTGTGAACTATTGTCAATATATTTGATGTAAATGAAAACTAGTCAAAATATTGTTGTATACACTTCGTGTTCTGTTGACTTTTCTGCTTTATAACTTTTCAATCAAATATGACTAAAAAAATGTCAATATGCGCATTCATATGTATCCATAATTCTATTTTATCAAAGACATTTAATAACCAGTTGTTTCTGTCGCTGTTATAAAGAATTACTGGACTGTTTGAACACTTGAAGTCTTTTAAGTGATTTTAGTCTGGGTTGGTACATACACTAGCCACCAGCAATAGAAAACTAAATGATACAGCTATTTTTTCTGTCATTAGTGTTCAGGAATTGAGAAGATCCGTACTCTGTTGGGGTGGAGGAGGAAGACTTGCCCACTTTCAGTAGTAACTTTATCGTAAAATTGCGAGTTAACGTCTGTTTTTTTTCCTTATTTTTCCTTCCTGCTGTAAACTCCATTTTTTATCAAATTTTTCCTCCTTGTCGTCGCACTGTATTTATTTCTCTTATTTTTCATCCATTTTATGTTTCTAGTTATTTTTTCCCCCGTCTCTTCACCTACTTGTGCTTATGCTATTATTCCTTCTCTCTTGATCTATTTTTCTCTCATTTCTCCTTCCCTCTTACGTGTAGTTCTTCCCCTCTTCATCATCCTTCATTTCTACTCATTCATCCATCTTCCCTTCTTCATTTTTTTCCTCTTCTGTTTTCATTATGCTGTTCTTCCCTTTATTTGACATTCCCAACTTCCTATTCCCTTCCCCTCCCCCTATTTCTCCTCTCATATTCCCCCTATTTTGTTAACTCTCCTGCATATATCCACCTCCCTTATTCTTCTCTCTCCTTGCGTGTGTCTCCTGTTCTTCCTTCTGCATACATTTACCCCCTCCTTCATCTTCCTTTAATTATTCTCTCTCCTTGCATGGGCCTCTCCTTCCTTCCAGGCTCGCATCTCTTCCCGTTACAAAGAAAATGGGCCACACCTAACATGCCTTAACCATTAGGAATGAGCACCAAATCCCAATGTTTAGTTGGGGGAGGTCTATTAAGAAGGGGTGGGGTGGGGTGGGTGAGTGGGGTGGGGTGGGGTGGAGTGAGGTGGGGTGGCTTACTGGACTGGTCACCAAACTCTCCTCCATCCTCCCATCATCTCATCTTCCTCCCAGGTTTCTTAATTTCTTATTGGTTATTCTCTCCATTTTTATTCTCCCTCTCATCCTCTCTCAAACACCCTATGTCTCTTATTCTCACTATTCCCTTCTTCTTTTTCGACGTAAGTTCTTCATTTTTCCATATTCATTATCTTGTCTTTACATTTCACAATCTTGTCCTCTACTTTTGTATGTGTATCTACGCCACTGTCTCCCTCCCGCCATCCTTCCTCCCTCCCATAAGCTCGTACACCATTCACACACAGATACACACTCAAAACACACATACCATTACCACACCTATATTCACCTGCCCCCCCACCCACACACACATATAAAACCATCATCTGAGGAACGAGAGAAAGCAAGAAAAGAAAAGAGAGAGAAAGAGGAGAGAGGAGAGAGGAGAGAGAGGGGATGACTAGCGAGGATATAAATAGCAACCTTAAGCCTACCGACGTTGCTATTATTACTGAAAGAGCGACCGTAATCTTGAGAGGACGGCTATACGGTGTTCCTTAAAAGTTTCATGAGGCTGCTGAAGTTCTATTAGGATCTTGGAAGCTGGTGAAGATTTTGAAGGCCCTTGGAGGTTTCTCAGAGTTTGAAGGGTTTGTCGAACTTTTCTTTAAGATGTTGCTGAAGGTTTCCTGTAAGTTTGCTGGTTGTCTCTTGGAGGACGGTGAGATTATCTTAGAGGGAGTTAAGATTGCTTTAGGTTCTCTGAGGGTTCCCGGAGGATATCAGTATTATTTTGGAGTTGCAACACAATCATCGCTGCTCACATATACGCTAAACACATCATCAACAAAGCCAAAAAATAAGTCGTACCTTCAATTCATAACACAACCCTTCACTCTGAACTCACTAATGGTAAATCTCTCTGGTCATTAGCCAAGTCCTGGGATGCGAAAAAGGTAAAGATGAAAAAGTGTGGAGGGCCCCGTGAGGAGGGCGGGGTCCCTCGTGCAGTGATGGAAATTTGGACTTCTGGCTGTAAAAATTATGTACTCCCGCGAATTTCAGATATCAACTATAATTTCACTTGGGTGTAATGTCTTTGATAAAAACAGTTACTTTAAATGTAATTATTTCAAAATACTGTATCTCTAATGATTTACATTTTGGAGATTACTGAGTTTCAAAATGACGAGTTAAGGACCCTGGGAAGGAGACTCCACAAGGCCCTGCTGTTGTCTGACATATATTGTTTAATTCGACGGAGTAAACAAAATTTGGTATTGTTTAACTCCATTGCCTTAAATTTTGTCAACTACTGAGGGATGGACACGATTAAAATGACTACCTTTCAACGCCTTAATTGCTGATTATTCACTCATCTCTCTTTCACATTAAAGTTTTTATATGTTATGTATAGTGTACAAACCTATCTTGAATATATACAGTACACCCTATTCCACACAGCACGTCACAGCTCACGGGTACGTCACCAATACCTCCCTCACCAGTACAGTTCTTCACTCACCAAAGCACCAAACTTGTAGATGGCAGCTATGTGGAGGCCGTAGGGGTCGGCGTCAGTGAGGGCGAGCACAGGTACCTTCAGTTCCCTCCACAGGCGGTGCACCAGCTGGCGGGTGGATATGTCTGGGTATCCTTTCCCCTGTAATACGTCATGTGGTTAGGGGAAAAAGTGTGTAAGGGCCTACACCTAACCTACGCTCTATTAGATGTGGGCTCCAACTTTAATCATTAGGTTAGGTTAGGGCAGTTGGGAACTACAAAATTACGTACAGAGAACAGGGAATATCACTGAAAATCAATAATTATTACAGCTAACTTCACCTGTGAATTCTGACTTTACCCATAGTTCCCGCCTCATGTGCGGGACCCCAGGGATTTACCTTCGTGCAGTGAATGTGAGTAACTGACCGTAATGAGTATGGCAGGTCCGTAGGTACGATGAACCTGTGCCTCCACCAGCTTCTGGAAGGTGGCGTCCTTCTCTACCACCAGGATGTAGCGCGCATCTGACACCACCCCAGTCAGCCCCTCCACACTGTCTGGCACTAGTAAACCTGCAAGGAACACCATGGAGCTATTTACATAGTAACGGTGTAGTTCATATGACCCTCTAATAATGTATATGTGTAAGCACCTTGTTTAGTTCTCAAATCCTGACAGGCTGATGCTGTGATTTATTTCACCTTATAAAATAATATATAACATATCCATCTGTAGGTGACTGACGATGTTACCGATTTAAAAACACCAATGAGCCAGGCTGATAGATCATTATGGGAGAAGCTAACACGACTTAATACTGTAGCCTGACCTAACGTAACTTGAAACTGGGTGACAATGAGAAAGAAACACAATAGTAAATTGACGTACCCTTCTGAGACTGGCAGACGTTGACGATAGTACCGCTGTATGTGGTGTAGGTGAGTGCACCGGCGACGAGGCCCTTCCCGGTAATGGTGAGGTGGAGGCTCTCTCGGGGCACACCCAGCAGCCGTGTCAAGTCTTCGGCTGATCGGTCCATCGATGCCTGCGTTTGATAAAGCCCCACCGACTCGTAATACACGTCCCTGAAGATTATGAGCAGCAAGTCCCAAATAATGTTTAATTAGCGTGTCTCTACAAATACCAAAGATCAAGATGAGAGATTACCCCAAAATAATAGATAATAACAAAAAGAAATAATTACATGTTCTATTTAAAAGGCAAAAATGACAATGGTATACAATTAACAAGGTAAATCATTAAATATATCAGACATATATTAACCTGGAAAACACCGTAATTAAAAAGAAAAAGAATGCTATCCAAGTGTCCCAGGAGAAGGCTTAAAGAGCTTTCAGGTATTTATAATAACACCTGTCTAATTTCGCCCCGTGTTATTCATTTCTTTAAAAAAAATACAGAGGGGGCAAGAGTAGCTACACATTATCAGTGTCTCAATACCGGGAGACGTTATTACACCACCCTACTGAAAATAAAGGCAAGGCAACATTGACAAGGAAAGACCCGGAGTGAGGAGCATGCAGCTATGGTTGCTGATAAGGAAAAGGAACCTGAAGGAAGGAAGGAAGGGAAAACTTACATCAAAGGGAAGAAATCAGAGGGAAAATGATCAACAAACATGTGAGAGAGAGAGAGGAAATGGAGGAGGAAGAAGAATAGGAGGAAGAGGAAGAATAGGAGCAGGAATAGAAGGGGTAGGAAGAGGAGGAGGAGAAGGAATAAAAGGAAGGAACAGTCTGAAAAAAAACGAAAAAGGAAAACATGAAAGGGAGAAAAAAAAGAAAAGAAAGGTAAATAATAACACAGGAGGTAGGGAAATAAGAGGAAGGAAGGGGAATAAATATGAATCAGTAAGAGAGATAGCTTAAAAGTTTCTGCAATAATGGAGTGAAAACGGGGGAAACGAACATAAGTGGAGGAGGAGGGGGAAGAGGAGGATAAATATTAAAACTGATGAAGGGGAAGAGAAGAGAGAAGAGAGAATATAGAGAAACTAAACAACTCTCTCTCCTCCCTTTCTTTCTCTATCCTCCATCTTTCTCTCCTCTCTCTCTCTCTGTCTCTCTCTCTCCCTCTCTCTCTCTGCCTCCCCCCTCCCTCTCTCTCAGGGGATCTACACTAAACACAATAAAACTCTCCCCCAAAGAAAGCTCTCCCTCGGGTATACAAAATTAAACAAAATACCAAATGCTATACTGGTTCCAACGCAATGGCCAATAGGTTAACAGACCTCTAAATGCTCACACCTATTATGACTCTGTGAACTATTGTTAATCTATAAGAGAGCAAATATCACTATATACAACAATTATTACCTTATAAGGAACAATTATCACTATACAGGGACTTTTCGACCATCTTGTAGCTTCGGCATTGGAACACTTTAAAGAGGGCGTCCTTATAACTAAATTGATTAGTATAGTTGAGTTATTAATGAACCTTATTACTGTATGTTGGTCTGTAAACTGTTGGGAGACTTGAGGTGAGTTTCTTTTTTGATATGAATGATTTGTCAACTGAATTCGTCTTCAGAGGGAGGGAAGGAGGGACCTACAATACTCCTCCAACTTTCTTGGTTCAGGAACAATACGGTAGGTAATAGTAACAGACGCTTACAACACACTACACCCGTCAACAAGATCAAGAGCGACGTATGAGGGACTCCTTCAACTTTGTCTTTTACCAAATTACCAATTCAATTCGTGTCGTGGGAATGTGATCATCTGGGACCACCAACACACATCCGCCCACAGTGCTGCTCCTCGTAAATCACGCATTAATTAACACCCCTTATATGGGCTGGGTAACCTCGCCCCATCTGGGAGGGCTCAAACAGGAAATCGGATAGGTTGAAAATTCGAGACGAAATTTTACAAGTTGAAAATTTTACCAGACAAAAATTTGAAAACTGAAATTGAATAATTGTACATTTAAAATTTGACAGGTGAAATCTTATTGGTTAAAATTATACAACTTAAATTGAATTGAGATAACTAGAATCCAACTCCTTAAAGCAGTAGTATCGATTAGATTATAGCATGCTGACATTCTTTCTTGGAGGTTGACCAACATGATACTTATTTTTAATATTTCAAAAGTGTTGTGAGAGACTTGGGATTAAATGGTCATGCCAGTCAATTGTTATTAACATGGAGTTATATGCTTTATACATTGTCGATGAGGGTGTCCACCTTCCAGCTTCCTCCCTCTTGAGAGTTTGGTTGATGAATGACCAATATTAAGTGCACCTCACCTTGAAACGTCCGTGACATTTTGGTTAATGAATACCTAACTCTAAGCTCCCCGCTCCCTGAGATATCAAAGAGATTCTGGTTGGTGAGAATGCAATTTTAATCTCCCCGCCCCTTGTGACACAGTATCTAACGCATTTTTTTCCAGCGAGTGTTTCCCTTTATAAGCACTCGTTATCATCAGTTTCCCGGCCCCTAGTATCGGGTTCTCTAAGATTCATACGTTTAATTTTCTCCCCAGTCCAGTTGATTATGTGTGAACGTTATGTAACCGATTCACTCAAGCTAAGGAATGAATGTATCAGCCAAAATAGCATCAAAACTACATTGTAATTTTATCGTAACATTAAAGTGTCGTAGTAAGGGTTCAGAATAGATTGAACATCGTTGTTTTGAACTTGTGTGTGGAAGCTGAAGGACATGAAGGACTTTGGACCATCATAGGGAAAGTGAACTGGATAATCTTAAAACCCCAAATTCCCTTTACTTTATTAACAGAAACTACAGTCCGGGCACAGGTTCAGGTAAAAAATGGACGACCCCAAAGAGAAAACCGTAGATAAATAACACTCAGAATCAATGTACGTTACCGTATCATTATGCTGTTCGTAAATATTATTAATAGGTCTTAAGACAGGTGGGTGTATACAGTACTGCGTCATTTACACCGGCCATTAATGTGCCACGGGATCAATATACATTAACGTCAAGTACAGTCACCAGCATCATACCTGGAACACTGACTGGTGGGTATAGTGTAAATGTAACAGTTATTGTCATTCATTCATACAACACTATGCCTTCATTACCTTCTGGTGGCGTAGGTGCCGGAGGTGACAAGGCGGTAGGCCTGGGCGAGGGTGTGCAGTAGGTGGGTGAAGCGTCGGGTGCTGCGAGGGGCTCCCAAGCTCACCAAGGACTCCCCGCCACTCCCGCTCTTATCACTGTGGAGGTGGGGAACAGTCAACCATGGGGAAGGTAAATGTCTTAAATAATCCCACAGACAGACGGACAGACAGTATGTGTTAAGGAATAGATAGAAGTATGGACAGACGAGATGACGATACGATGGCAATTAACCTCAAGCCTCTGATACGTTTACACTGCAAGACCTCACCATGATAACACGAGTTCACACACTGACCTAACGCCCAAGAGCATAACACACACAATACTCAGACATTAACACTTAAAAATAACATCATCACTACACTATCTCATATACCTTCTTTACATCATTCACATCATTAGGTTAATTAACATAGTTTTGCAGCGCGAGATTATCAAGGAGCACAGATCAGGTACCACACCCTCCTGACACGATTTCCATATGCATACTACTACTGTATGTATCTCCAGAGTCCTGTTACAGCTGATATTGAGGCCGATGATGAATGAGCGATGAGGGAGGGGGAGGTGAGACGGTTTGAGTGATTGGCAGATGGTAGGGGAGAGGGGAGGTGGTGAGGGAGAGGGGAGAGGGATGTGTTGAGTGCTATGGAAACGAGCGAAGGTAAGGGGACTGGATAGAGGGGAATAGGAGGGGGCTGTGTTTGTTGGGAAGGAAGCGGGGAGGAAAGGGGAGGGGAAGTTTTTCGTGGTTGGGAAGAGGATGAAACGACGTGTGGCAGGGCTGTTGATGGGGAGGGGGACTTAATATGTTGGGGAGAGGGGGAGTTTAAATACATGGGGAGAGGGGGGAGTTTAAATGCTTGCGGTGACAATGACATACATACATGTAATGTTACAGTATATACAAACACACTTGGACGTTTTTACAGACATATTCCCATAAAGACTTTACACACAGACACACACACGTACATATACAAACACACATACATACACACCCACACACTGGTGGATGTGATATAATAAAAATATTGATGACGCCGCCAGCACCAATCTGTTCACCCATATCACTACTGCTGCAGCGCACCAGTACGGCTGACGGAAAAAAAAAAGGGTGGAAAACTTTTGGCAGTGAACAAACAACGAAAATAAAAACTTACGGCGGCGAAAAAATACCAACGTAGAAACTTTTGGCATAAAGAAAAAAAAAAGAATGAAGGGAAAAACAAATATACAACAGAGGGAAAAAATAAAAAATCTACAGCGATGCGGGGAAAAAAACCCCAGCTTAGCATAAGAAAAAATCCCGGAGAAAGATGACAGAATAATGCTCTTCAGGTCACACACTGGCGGGATAACGTATATGTGTGTTTTAAAGTCACCCTGAAGAGACCCTATATAACCACTCATGGGTACTGATTCAACGGTGTGGGAGGAGGAGACTCGATTACACTATATCCAAGACGGTAAAGCCCTACTAGACAACACGACCGACACCAAAACATAAGTCTTATCTGTCTCTAAATTTTAAGACTTCACTAATCGAATCATCGGGAAGGTTGGTACAGATGAGTAATGAATTTCCTACAAAGACCTACAGTACAGCAGGTGTGTCGAGAAGCAGCACGTAATTAAGGTCTGTTTTGGGAAATATATGATTGCTACAGAAAATCACCCAACTTTCCTTTTAGTAAGTTATTAATGTTTTAAGAAATTGGGTTTAATGTGTGCTAAAGGAAGAACAACAGGACGCTGATTTAACTGAATCGTTGTTAGCTTATATGACGAATTTACTGAAAAAAAAATACTTCGGCTGTCTCTGGTGTTTGGTTACAAGAGCTCAAGCCAGTACAGCGGTGAAATAGTATTAAAAAAAATATATTTGTTTTTAGACAGGGAAGCAAATAGACCCACACACGGAACCTTTATTCCATTTTCCTTTTTTCATGTTATTCAGCACAGTTTATATTTCCCTGATTAATTTTAGCTCCCACCACAGTACTCGGTTCCAATATTTGCTGCTCCATTTGTTATTAGTGTGCTGTTGGCTCCATTCATTGTTGGAATTTTTGTTGTCGGGATTTTGTGGTGATGTTTGGTGATGCCGTTTATACTCTCTTCCGTGTGGAGTGTTTTTCGTTGGTAATGTTTTCATGTAGTTCGGAAAAGTTGATATTTTTAAGTCAAGTTAAATGATAAATATACATCATAGTTTTAAGCTTAGTGTTCAACTTTTCCTGATCTTGTAAATCACTCATTACTTTACGTTGAATAAGCGGGGAACAATATCAGTGCAGTTAGAGGGCTAAAAGCAGGTCTTGTGTTCTGTCAAATCAGTCAATGTGACTGATCTGTTGCAGCTCCAATGACAATACAATGTAATGTGGTACAAGCATTTCCCCGAAGGTATGCGTAACACTCAATACCATGCAATAAGGGACAGGAGATCCCCTGATGTCAGCACCAGACTCAATGTCAACAGGCATAGTAGTCTCTGGTCTATTGACAAGGTTACCGTGTCAATACTGGTGAGTCTCAAACCCAGCTGACGCTCGCCACATGGACAAGAGTAAGTAAACAAAACCTTGGGTTCATGAATACACCCTGGTTTGTATCCCAGTTGAAAGTCAGAGCTGTTTTAATGAATCATATTGTTACTAACATCTTCAATATTGAAGTCTCGTGAGCTGGGATGATGAACCAACAATATGGTGTTGTGAAGCATTTCATCCGTTTCGTTAGCTTAAATTTATGGCTTTGCTCTTTATTTCATTTGTCAGTTCTGCAAGTTTGAAACACAGATACGAAGTCAATTACAGGACCAGTTATTATTTTTTCTTATTAATAAAGGATTACAGTGTTAGGACAGAATATATGTGTTAGACCTAAAACAAAAGAAGGTAAAGTATGCAAAACACATAACACTAGTGTACGTAATGGATACATGCAGTGAACAAAGAGCAGGTAACCCAAAAATGCATGAGCTCACACAACTAAGTTAAAAAATATCTGAAACACTTGTCATATTTCATAAACAAACTAGACATTAGTGTTCTTAAATAAGGGTTTCTGTGGCAGGCATGTCCAGGGTCTTCACCACGAATGAAAATGAATTAATGCAAGTAGAGCGGCGTATGACTGTTCATTAAATAGTAGCGATATTTTGTTTTATTCCTTCATCTCCCCAACAAGGATCTCTCTGCAGACATGTATGAGTCACTATCCAGAGGCGAGTGTTCAAGTGCTGTTACCGTCATTATTAAGAATAATGTATTAATTGTGTACAATGTGTTGGTGAAGTACAGGTGTAGTGAACTAATTTAACACGTACCTGCGAGGAGGACGGGGCACCCTGAGGACAGGAGGTTCTCCGACGCTGATGCTAGCCACCACGTCTTCCACGATACGCTCACATCCGCCCAGCATCTCTCTGCCATAACAGGGGAAACATTTATTAATATATAGCCATATATCTAAGTTTGTTCTGATATACTGAGCATCTACTAAATAAATTATTTCCGAAAACTGTGATAAATTTAACTTAGCTTGGTTATCACCAACATATCAAGATATATTTTCATGAAGTTTAATACACATATTTTATCTCAACTCAAACTAATAACACTTACTAACATATACACTTATCATCAGCCACCAATACTAAATATATACCGACATAAAACATTGATCACACACACTGTTTTCATTTCATGTTGGTGAAATTACTTATGCAACCTGTGAGAACCTTACTAGTTTACGCTAAAACATTTATACTGCTGCTGAATATTATAAAATATATATATTTTAAAGTATTCCAGACTTTGTTATCCTTGCCAGAATTTAAAAAAAGCTTCAACATAACACGGAAAATCCATTCCAACCCTTTATTCAGGAACAGCAGCGCATTCACAGGTTTAACTGTATTGACCTTAACATCATCACAGTAAGAAAAACTCCCTAAAGCACAAAAGACGTATAAACAAAACTCTACATTAACCTATTGTTATTCTCAAGTCAAACCTCCTTGTGTGACCTGCTCGGGAAACCTTCCTCTTAATATTCTAATATTTTATCATTAATCACTATAGCCTATAAGCATTTACATTAATATTAATAATAACTATAGGCAACTTTTTTCACCGTAATTTATTTTCTGACCGACAAGGTTTGTTTTTCTTTCACCTTTAATAAAACTCTGATGTGAAGCGAACAGTCAGAGCTTCTAATTTAATACTCTCATTAAGCAGTTAACATGTGGTATTTTTATGTGTGTGATAAAACAGCTATTCGTTCACCTTAACAAAACTCTGTTGTGAACCGCCAAATATTAAAAAGTACTCTCAATAACCTGTTACCCATAACTATTATCATCAATTGGTATTCACTGGAAAGTTGTCTGCAAAAGATTGAACAGTATGTTATTGCACAGTATTGTTGATAACTTTTCAATCAAATGCAAGCTTCCAATACCACCTATTATTAAACCTTTAAATATGTTGTTGATTACATGTTCCGGCGGTGTTAACGACCAGGGGTCTTTAAGTACCGTTTAAGCCATAAATTCTACTCCAGAGAACTAACACAAAAATATGAAGAGGCTTTGTCTTAATTTCAAGGCATCTAAATAAAAAATGTACAAACTCATGATGCTGTTTTACATAACGAGGCTTTACTATGCTCTAATGTTTAAGTCACTATAATAAAGCATTAACCTCAACAATGGACGTTGATGAGAAATTACACAACTCTTAAACTTCTTTCGGGAGACAATATACAAATCAGAGCACCATCCTGATATCTGAGTGTTGGTGACCACAGTCCTCAACTCTAAAATGTCCTCGGGCTTTATTTACTAATCCTCAGAGGTTTTGTATCTCTCTGGGGACTCAGTTATTAATTTTATTGATCCATCTCAGTCTCTGCCTTTCCCCTGGCCCTCCTACTCTCGACTCTGCCCAAGTGAACACATTCTCGTTATTTTACATTCATGTTTCATAAAACCTTCAATCACGTATCCATCACTATGTCATATTTATGTTTACAGTTCTAAACTAAATGAAAATGTCAGGGTTCGCGTGATATTACCTCCGTCGGCAAATAATTCAACTCTGCATCAGTCATTACCAGGTTCAATAAAGGTTTCAATAAAACTTAAGAGTATCATTATATCCCTTATACAGAAAACAGGCACAAGCAATAATGATATCCTAGTTATAAGAGGAGAGTTCTTGCTGAAATTTGAATAACAACTTCCAAATATGTTGTTCAGATATGTGAAATATATATCATCAACATATACCGTATATAGCCTGCACAGTACAGCCATTGCTCATCATACACATACATAAACACAGAGGCTCCATATTGATAATTCAAAAACATACTCGTGCATTGTATTTTTGTACCGATTTAACAATGATTTCAGCAATGCAATTATCCTTATTTAATAATCATAATTAATGAATCAAATTTCACGTCCATTACTGATCAGTTTAAATTAATATACATTTTTTTGTGTGATTTATTTTAGATATTGTATTCAGTTACTTATTTTGACTAATATTCTCACATTCCTTCACTTATCATTCTTATAATTGTTATTGAAGTCCCCCCTCTTGCTGGCTCGCTATCAAAACAATGTTGGGTGGTCAGTGTGTGTGTGTGTGTGTGTGTGTGTGTGTGTGTGTGTGTGTGTGTGTGTGTGTGTGTGTGTGTGTGTGTGTGTGTGTGTGTGTGTGTGTGTGTGTGTGTGTGTGTGTGTAAGGCCTGGGATGTAACCTAAAATATGCAGACAGGGAGAGCAGCCTAGTTCATGATCATAACAGGAGGGGATGAGGGTTAAGTATGATGCAGGGATGGTGGATGGTGGATGTTATCAGTGGATGGAGGGATTGATGGGGGGGGGGAGGAGGAGAGAACTATTCAATCACTATTTCTAATTACATGATAAATGATTGGCATGCATCACACTTCTTTAATTCCTGAAAAAGTGAAAAATGTTGAAATGAACAAAATCATCTCGCACCTCCATAATCCCACATGAACCTGTATACATCTATAATATTGTATATGCAACAACTGTGGGGTTAAGTTTACAATCAATAAGCTGAAAACTGTGCATCAGTTGATTACCCACAGTGAGCACCCACATGGAAAGTATTACATATGACCTATAAAATAACAAAGATTAAAACAATATTTTTTTTTCTGAAATTCATCTAGCTACTTCATATTGCCACATACACACGTCAATGTATGTATGCAATATATGCGGCAGTTTCCAGATAAATTTACTGAAGGTGATTATACAAAGTTACGAACAAACGGTTAGTTAATAAGTTGGGAAAAGTTGGTTATAATTTGTCATGTTGTTCGGCAGAAATTAGCTGGTGAGACCAACACTCCATGCACAAAGTTAAACACTCAGTAATCACTTTCCAATACGCGAAGCTTGATGATTACAAGCATTACTAAGGCCGCATCTGACACGTAAACATTAGTCTGGTTCCTGAGTCTCAAAGATTAGTACCATACAATAAAATATTCCTCGTGTACTAGTATTGTGTTTGCCATCATTCTATACACCGCGTGGAGGCACTGTTAGGCTACTATCAATAACACTACCTTCCACACTCCAATAAAGCCCCGGTAGCGCCCCAATTGTTTCTAAAAATATGAATACCTCGATACCCTCCCTGACCTTTCACCTCCCCCTTCCTATTGACAAGGACACTGTACCCCCCTGTAGTCTCTTTGGTCAAGAACTATTTTCTTAAGGATCCAGCGAAGCTATTTGGAAAAGTGATGGCAGTGAAGATATGCGGTATTTGATAATTGTACAATCAACTTTTTTAAGTGATATCTGAGATTTTCGACTCCCACCTCTTCCTTCCACATTCGAAATTTCGTTTCTATATCTATCTTACTCTTCCATCTTCTCCTACCCTGACCTGACCATAGTTCACAAGCCTCTCCTCTCCTCACAGCCCCTCTAGTACCTCGTATCTTGCCACTCTCCTTCCTTCCCTCCCCTTCAAGGCCATCTCGACCTTTGATGGGCCCGTATCTATCCTCTGGAAACGGGTTCAAAGGCCAGTTGTTCGGCGACGCTTGTTTACAAATCGGTGCAATACAAACAACCTCCAAATGAAACAACAAACTCTTCAATTACCATACCAAACGTGTTGGTGTTGTTATAAGTTATTACTGTGGTTGAACTACAAAGGGTTTAAGAGCGTCCATTAATACACTAGACAGCATGATTTAAATATTAAGAGCTCTACCTCTCCGGTTAACCAAACGAACTCTACTTACGTTTGTTTAATGTTACACTGAGCATGTAGGGGAGGTTCACTCCGAGGTATGAAGCTACTCTCCCTTCTCGTAAATGATCAGCAAGTCTAATTCTCGCAACGTCTAGTGTTTCCTGCTAACCGAACCTTTACAAAAAGAACTTAGACCTAAAATAAAGACTTGTTCTTAAATATGTAGAGAAACCTTATTTTTTTTCTACCCAGGAAGGCAGTCGATAAAAAGATGACTTTCTTCAACATAAAAGTAAATTTATGTTTTTCTCGTTACCCCATTTTCTTTGAGCTGGGCCAACTCAATGTAATCAAGGCTATCTTATCGTAACTGGACTGGACACCGTCAACAATACTAAGCGTGTGTTATGTAAGGAGCCCTACTGTGACCTCCTCTGTGTCCTCACTGACTTGGCCAAGCGGAACTGTTGATATAAGATCAAATGAACGTCATTCCCCTCTTGCCTGGGATCCCCTTCTTTATAGCCACTAGCCTCTGAAATTTGTAACTCGCAGTTATGCAGCGAAAACTGCAGCGACCAAAGGTTTCCCCTTCTTTCCTGAACCAAATGTGTGTGGTATGTAAATAAACACAACAATTACGATAACGTAGCGACAAAGGGAATTCTAAGGCTCCTCCTCCTGTAGGGACCAAAGTTAAGCTTAACTCTACATACGGGAAGTTGGTGCCCCACTTCTAGTTGACTTCATACAATTATGACGTAACCTGTAGTTCACATGGCTTAAGTAATGAGAAATTTTTAAAGTAAAATTACCTACGAAAAATCACCATTAAAAACACTAGTGCAGTATCACACCTTTCGCTCATAGTTATCCTGCACAGTATATCAGATTAAAACGGGTTTTATAATTACAAAAATTGCTTTCGATTGGGCCCACCGGCGTTTATTACCCAATCCATACCTATCACTATATCATTAATTTAGATCTGCACAGTTAGAGCTTGCTGCCATAATTGGTTACTGTGTAAACACATGTTCAATGTACACAAGCTAATTATACCTGACTGGCTCTCAATCAAAAAGTGATCGGTACAACACCACACACACTGCTGCTCTCTTCACAATCTATTCTACGTACAGATTCTTAAAGGCTCGTACAATATAATATGTTTCTCGTAACAAATGATGTAACACTGCACCTCACTGGATGTTACAACTAAAACCCCAAACTAAGATAAAAAAAATACAAATTACAGTGACACCCCATTACGTCCACTTTGTACCAGTTAGGAGACAAAGTTAACTAGACAACGAAATTACGAGTATATTCTTTAAGTTAATTTTGTTTGGTGAAAAGTGAACACATGCAGTTCTGATAGAATACCAGTGTAATTTTGAAGCTAGTTTGAGTTCGTATACTAGTGATTGTTGAATTAATCCATTTAGTTGTATCCCTATATTTAGTTACCAGGAATTTTCACCCTAAGATCCTTTAAGAGTCTGGCTCCCGGGTCCTGCTTCACTAAATGTTCTCTTTGTACGTGTAAGAGACGCTTATATAAATTTAAACCCATATAAATGACTTCTCTTAAATTCGGGGCACTTTTCAATTGTGTTTGCACTGCACTAATAGGCCATCCCGGTAACAAATGGGATGAGATCTTAACATGGAAAATTGCATGTAATTGGAGGAAGCCTCACTCCCTACAGGTAACAGTTACTCCTCTCTAATGGTCACGACAACCTTTCCCTAGCCTTTTACTTTCATTGCTATTTTTTTCGCAGAGCAGTGACGTAACTAGTTAAAAATTGCTAAATGTAAATACCAAATATTATTGTAAGGCATTGCTAAAGAATTGTGGAGGATTATAGCATATATCATTTCCCTGCATACAATACAAACTTAATTCAATTCAATGTGTCCCGTGGGTTTTAAATAGTCACGCCGTAGCCTCGTACTATTTCAAAACCGTGTTCGCTCCAAGATTACGTGAAAGAATAGAAACCTTTCGTGAAGAACTATTTACCCAAAAATTTCCAGTGCATAGAAAGATAAACAATAATATTAACATACCAGTAGACCGGACGCAAGTAATGATATACATAAAAGTGTTCTTAATGTTTGTCCAGCAGCTTTACGCGCCTTGACGTGAGCGGTATTGTTTTTACCGTTATTTACCTGCTAATATCCTCCCAGTTCATCATTGCCATTGCAGTTTGGTTATATTCCTCGCCCTCCCGAAGAATAATCATGCGTAACTTCTCAATTTCACACCAGAATTCTTCATTGACTGCCATTCTGCACCACGGGGAGATCAGAGTGACAATGTCGGTCAGGTGAAGCAGACGACGCGCGGAAAACAACGATTCAAATATCTACAAAAGAAAATTAATTATTTAATATATAATCTTTATTAGCATATATATACAAATCTAATATGTGTGATAATCAATCATATATTTGTTTAATATTATGCCTCTTAATATGTACATCTTTAGTGAATAATGATACACAGTTTTTTTTCGAGAATCGCAACGATGTCAACACAACCAAGGAGCTTTAATTAAATCTCTCCAACACCGCCACATTTAAACCTCTGTAGAGCCAATCCGTGAAATATTAGTTACATTAATTACTGGAAGGGTGATTATTCTTTATATTGAACTGCTTTAAAAGAATTAAAACTTTTATGTAGTTTCTTGGAAAATATTAATAACAACGGAAATAAATGTTTAATAACTATATACACTAAGATATAAGGAGGGCACAGATCGAGTATCAAGGGTCATGAAGATACTGTTCCGGCTCTATTAAATTATCTGTTTAAATAAATTATCGAGGCTGAAACGAATTCTCTAAAAATTACATACTTAAATTTAATAAAACTGTTATATTGATCGGTATAAGATGAAACGGATGAATTTGGGGCACACATTTTTCAGTTACTCTGTTGATTTGGTTATTTAGAACCAAAAATCACTAGTAGGTGAAGGCATGGTCAGTAATTTAGTTATGAATTTAAAGTGAGTTGACCTTACCCAACACATCTACAGCTATTAACTTCAAAATATAAATCAGCATCAGACCTTTTGCTGGACACCAGACCGATACACTATTACACTATGCTCGCCATTTTGGACAATTAACAGCTTAACGGAGGAGTGAAACAGAACCTCCCAGGACCATTTGTGGCCTTATATGTATTATGTATTATGCAAATTACATCGTGCATTCTTTATTTGATGAAACCAATTAAACCTGTAAACAGTTAATGGTAATGGAAGCACTGTATGTAGTGGAGTCTACAAGCCGACTCTACACTATGCTGTATTGACAACGTAACCTGATGAATATAATACACGGTGTGATGTGTTGTTTAATTACCTCAACTTAGGTTTAATTACATATGACATTGGTTTAATTACATACTACAGAGGTTAAATAACATATGACATAAATGGTAATTACTGATTGGTTTATATTATACCTTTGAGAGACTTCATTTGAGAGTAACAATAAAACCTATTTTTCGTTGAGGCCACCACGGCGGTGTCCACCCCTGCTAAAAAAGACAAAAATCTTACCTTCTGTTTCTATTGGCAGCTGGCACGATAATATTTTATGGAGTATCGATTAAAAGAATGCCCTGAAATATTCTGATTGCTACGGAGACAAAAGGAAAACTTTGTATTTTATCTGGGCAACAAATTGTTTCTCTCGCTGGACAATTTCTGGTATTCACCTTTATTTTTGCCTCTTAAAAATGTAAAGAAAATTGCATCACAAGATAAAAACCATCTAACTGTCTCTCTATATCTGTCTTTACTTCTCTTTACGTGTTCATATCTTTTGGACTTTATATCTATCCATATATTTTTGTAATATATATAGACAGTATCTATATAGATGTAATACGTATATATATGTTACTACTACTACAAATAATAATAATAATAATAATAATAATAATAACAGGAAAGTAGTTCAGTACCAGTCCCATGATTCAAGCGTGGGCCTACACCCCCCAACCCTCCTCACGATCAAGTTCAACTCGTCTCCCTCTGCGGGAATGTGGTGTAGAGCGTGGTTGAGTCCCCCGTGTTCTCTAATGTTTCACTAGGGACTATTCCACACACTAACTGCCCATCAATCTAAAACTTTCACCCAAGTCTGATTTTTTGGAGGGAGATTTCGCTCGCTGGTCCCGCGGCCGGAGTCATGGGTAAGAATTCTTAAAGATTCCTGGGCTAAATTACTCCACCTTATTTGTAGTTGTTAAGACATCATTTTTGGCTGAAGGTATGACGCAAGTATAACAACAACAAATGACGTTAAGAATACACAGAAACTCTACCATATTTTGTTGAGTTGTCTTTCCACTGAGTAACAGCAAAGTACAGTTTCCACGTTACAGACTAACTCATTATACTGATTTATTTTCCTGAATACAGTATTTTATATAATTAGGTAAAAAGCAAAAATTTCATTACAAAAGAGATATAAAACTAAACTTGAAATGTCACTGGAACGAAAAGTGGGATTTGATAAAATAATGTTGAGTATTTTGGAGTTAAGCAGCCATCTGAAAATGCACTATCAGTTGGCAGTGTTTGTATACCATGTCACAGCTGCATTCATGTGACCTCAGTAAGTCCTGCCACTAGTAAAAGGTAAATAATCAGTCGGCTGTCAACCTCAAACGTGAGATATCAAACACATCAACGTTTTAACAGAAATTGTTAATTAAAGTATAACTCTCAAGGTAATTGGCTCAATTTATGAACAAATGTATTTACGAAATGACTAAGTTATTTTATCGTTTTTATAGTGGTTTTATCGTCTCTTTTGCCCATAACATATGATCTCCCTCAGCTGTTGGTGATAAGCGAGAACTGGTGGCTGACCTGTTGTTGTTGTGATCCATGAGTCCTTCACTGCCTACCTAGTACACTATGCCTCTTCCCGACTTGCTTTACTATCCCTTTTACCAGCCTTGACACCACTCTGATAACCTTGCCTTCCCTTGACCAGCCTTGACAACCCACCCTTATCACCTCCCTTGACACCTATCAGCCAGCCTTGACACCACTGCCAACCTCGCCTGCTCTTGACCAGCCTTGACACCCCCTCAGCCAGTCATGACACTCCTCTACTAACTTTGTTGCTCACATTGTTTACTTTGCCCTCGTGCTAGCGGCTGGACTTTGATCCCTCTCAACCTTCCTAGAAGCGCGAGGGTCGGCTACCTATTGGAGCGCCGGCCTTCCTAGCCCATGTTTGACCTTCGTCTTCGTTGCCGCGTCTCAGTGTTGATTAATTAAAAAGTTCCTCCTCGACTTTGAAGTCATATTCTGCACTCTCTTTGTCCTCCTCACAATCGCCCGCCAGGGTAACGAGATTGGATACCTGCTTCATAATGCGAAGACCTTTTTTTAAATCTACCTTTAAGAAATTGAGGAAAGTTTCTCTTACCGAGTTCATTTTCGTCTTTAAGAGAAAGTTACTACTTATAAAGTTTTCTAGATGGTTTTCTATTACCGAGAAGACTGTCCGAACCAGAAATAAGTTCTCTAAAAAGTTTTTCAGATTTTTTTATTACAGGGGAACTGTAAGAACAAAATATAAGTTTTCTAACTGACAATAGTCGAATATTAGTCCACTCTCCGAGTTTAAACCAAAGTTATGATATCAACGGCACATGGAAAGACAACTCAAGCTACTTACTAAGAGGTTCTTAACAACATTGGGATGTACAGTACCAACGTTGTTTGTGTGACAGACAACATCAGCAAGTGACTATACTGCACAGTATTATCCCTCTAGTCTTGTCTAGTATGACGGCCATCAACATTCAGTGGACTCGTCACTTGTAAAGTATCGTAAGTTGTATCAATAAACTTTTCGTCAAAACTTTTCACCAATTAAAGTTTTTTGCACCTTTAGTATCTTCTTCGACGAACTGAAAGTCTCAAATTGAAATACATTTTCCTGGTAACGACTCACTTGTTTTACCAGCAGCGTCCACGAAGTTTTCCTATTCCAGCTCTTTTCTCATGTAGTGTGAGATGAACAATGATTCCTGTCACCAGATGTCACCTCTCTTATCGGACACCTCAAGTCAAAACATTCTATCCTGAGGGTTTCGTCATGATGTTACCCTCGTGTTCACTGTACCTGCAAACCAAGATGACACGTTAGATGTTTACGATTATTTTATCATATACACACATGATCAAAAAGTATATACAGTAAATGGTAAAATAAACAAATACCAAAGCATATTCAATTATTCTCTAAGGAATATCATGACCACTGGGTATATAGACAGACAGGGAGGCGAGCGACACACGATGCTAATGGGCGCTATTCCATCACATTAGCTCAGGGGGCCAATAAAAGGTCACTGAGCTTCATTATTTAATACCATCCAAGGTTTGATGTGCCATTCGACCTAAATCACACAGTCTGACACCCTCCATCACAGTCTGACACCCTCCATCACAGTCTGACACCCTCCATCACACACAGTCTGACACCCTCCATCACACACAGTCTGACACCCTCCATCACAGTCTGACACCCTCCATCACACACAGTCTGACACCCTCCATCACAGTCTGACACCCTCCATCACACATAGTCTGACACCCTCCATCACAGTCTTACACCCTCCATCACAGTCTGACACCCTCCATCACATTGTCACAGTGAGTCGGACATAATGAGATCCAACACCCAGAAAGAGGCATTCCCGTATCTGACTCTTTGGCACCTCAATAAGACAACACACTCTTCCACCTCCTCTTCCTCCAATGCAACACTCCCTTTCCACCTCTTCCTCCTGCCCCTCACACCCATCCACCTCTTCCTCCTGCCCCTCACACCCATCCACCTCTTCCTTCAACCCCCACACAACCTTCCACCTTCAGTTCTTCCCAGACACTGGACTTGGACACACACACACACACACACAAATTTCAATGTAAATAAACGAATTGAATTACCCGCCATCACTGCACACCCTTACAGGACTCAGACTACAACAATGCAACACTTTACACCCACTGCTATTAAACCTGACACGTGTCCATAAGGTATATAGAATCATTACGGAATAATAATCAAGGTGTGAGACAACCTTTTCTTACCTGTTACTCTTGTGTTTTGTTAAGTAAAGCAGGTGTACACAAGCACATAATGTGTATATGTAAAGAGGCGATTTAACTTGATACTTATTGTGCTCAAGAGGTTAAGGCATAGCACTCAATGAATATCGTACTAAAGGGATTAAATCATC